AATAGGCATGTCTAAAAGGAAACGTCCATCAAATAACAAAATTAATTGGGGTAGATATAATGTGGATCTGCTCCACTGTGGTTTTATTCCCAAGGGCTGTGGTTAAAATAATCCAAACTCCGTTTATCGGGTTGTTTACCGACAAAAAACGATGGTTCTGTAAATTGTTTCCAGATCGGCATTGATGTGAAACAAATGACAGATTTGGGTGAATTTATAGACGTCAGTCTGTCTGAGTAAAACACTATTCCCCCCGGACAGTGTTAATTCTGGGATGGAAGAATTTGTTGAGTTGCATTACCGGTTTCAAGCTTGATTCGACATGTGCATTATGAAACTGTAGAATTTTGTCTCAAACTAGTGACTAGATCAATTTGAATTTGAATGCTGTTTAATATAAGCGTACAAAGTGTTATTTTTGTGACCTAGAGGAAAAGCAATCGACTTATGAAGGTACCTTTCACATCAGAATGGGAGCATTTGTGTTATTAGTTATCGAACCCCCGAGAAAGCACAGGTCTAATACTGGTTAATAGTAGTTCAAAGATCCTAACCTTGAACGTATTTGATAATATTCTTATAGGAAGTTTCGGATTGAAGAACAAAGTTGTGATAAATCCATCACTCACCATTAATTCACATATTGCGGCTAAAGTCGGGGTTAATTTGGAATACGCGTATCAGGTGGTTTCCTCCCCGGATACGGCTCTCTGGCAGAATGACTACTGCAGTTGCAGTTGAATGCATTTCCATTTAGAGAAACGAAACAAGAGGACAGGCTATTATTGGGGGAATCAAATATATGCAAATAGTGGTTACTACTTAGCAGAACGAAAGCGTTATGCTTACAGAATTTTGGCTTGGTATTTAAGAAGCAAACGGATCTATCGTGCTCCAAAACTCATCTTATCAAAAATGTGAAAACACAACATACTGAGCTGACGGTAAATGGTTCCGTGGTTCTAAAAAGGCAACCCATCAGGTTAGCTAGAAAGTTGGCATGCATTAAATTAACGGTTTGTTGCAACCAACTGAAGTCATTCAGTCAGTAAATACCGTTGAATATAAGAACACCTCTTACTTGCTTGTGTCAGTGGAGCGCACGCAACAGACAGGACAAAAGGGAGTCCTTTTTACGTTTCAAAACCTGCCTATTTTCAAATGGTGTGGAAGGGTTTTGTTTGAATAGTACGACCTTTTGATGAGCCAAAAGTCAATGCAATCAACTAAAATTGTTAGTACTCTTTTTCCCTATTGCGGTCTTTGGGAGCAAAATCGCAAGTGCTTGTTGTATCTTTTTGATAACGGACAATGATTGACATTTGTCGCAAACATGCATCGACCCACGTAGAACATGGGAAACAATCGTTCAATTTGTTAAATGTTTGATGCAGGAAATCAAATGTTTTTTCTTTTCAGAGATGACTCTAATAGAGCAATGATGTAATGAACTAAACCAATCGCTTCCATCATTCGATAACGAGATATGTACTTAGAAATCACTTATTCCAATAAGCCAATTTATATCAAAGAATAAATAACTCAAAATGTTTTAGCGCTTCCAAACCTCGTTATGAATTGGGTTCAAAAGAACCTTACATAGTGCTTCAGGTTTCGTTGGCCTCCTGTTACGCGTCTTCCTCTGTGTTTCACCGGGCCTATATGTTTTTCATGGATCCCAAATATCAGCGTGAAAGTGACACAGCTAAGGTATAGGAAACTGAAAGAAACGCAATTTTTGGATATAAAGAACTCGAACGCCGCGTGCATTCCTTGCAGTTTATTCATGTAGCGAAGATCAATACAACCTTTTATACAATACCCAAAACCATGGTTTTAACCACAAACACAACTCTATCTCGGCGCCTATAGAGAAGACCTCTTGTTATTAACTGAGGCTATAGCTTGAATAGTTAAATCTACTACCCCTCTTTTTCTTGGCCAAAATTCAATCTGCCGGAGCATTTGTTTAAACAACTGTTACATTATCACGTTATATACAGGTGTTGATCAATTTTGGTCAACATCACTCTCATTTTGGAAATAAATTTCAGTCTCCAATATAATACTTGTATATTGATAGCTATGGGCAAAGTGTATTTATTCCTGATTTTATCTCCCATCCTATGTTCTCAGTTCTCTCCTAGCACCGTTTACATTTTGCGCGACCTCGAGTGTTGCGATAAAAAATGGAATAAATCAAAAGCTAAGGCTCAAATTTTGAAAATGTTTCAAGCCACGCAGTAGGGGAATCCATTCAAAAAATGATTCCTAATCGATGATACTTTTTATTAGGTTGAGCACATGTAATCTAAATCGCTTATCTCTTTTCCTAAAGTGTACAGTGAATAAGAAGATTAATGAAAATATTCTTGCTTAAATAAATTGATAAATTATTTGGCTATAAACAAATCACGCATTATCTAGAATACTGAAAGAACTGAAAGCATTGTCCAAAAAGCACTAGGTGATCTTCAACAGTTTACCTTGAGGTGTGCGGCTGGCTGAATACGCTACTTGTAGTGTCACCATACCAATACTCAACGACGTTTCTCTATCATGACATAAACAAAGTGGGAAGAAACTAATCTTATCACAATAAGACGATGGTTTGCATTTGATCGGAGCAAACCAGAGTTTCGAAAAACTAATTTACACGATACTCTATGCCAATTACCGCATTTCGACGCGCTTTCAATAGGAAACGGATGGCTCAATATAATCTACAGCTGACGGTAAAAAGGAATCGAAAGTGTACTCGGCGATATAAATCCCATGAAGGAAACGGATATATACCAATCATGATTGACTACTTTACGAGATGGGCTGAGGCTGTTGCCATTCGGTTCCGGGACGCGTCGACGGTTGCAAAAGCATTTGTTTACGGATGAATAAGTCAGCATGGTGCCCCGCAAATCCTACACTCCGACCAAGGCGCGGCGTTCGAAAGCCAGGTGCTACAGGAAGTATCTCACTTGCTGGGTGTAAAACGAACCCGAAAGTCTTCGTATCATCCCCAAGGTACTAGGCTAGTGGAACGCACCAATCGAACCATAAAGAATATCCTTCAAGATTCCTGTGAAACCCTTGATGCAGATCGCTAGGATGAAACACTTCCGCTGTGGATGCTCGCCTATCGCGTTTCGTACCATAGCACTAATAGTTACAGTGCAGCATTCCTGAGTGAGTTACGTGAGTTACGTTTACCCGCAGAGATAGCGGTGCCATCTTTGCCAACCTCTGCTGACACCAAGCTTGCTGACACCAGAGACCTTAAATGAACCTCTTCAGCAAGCTTTCCTGCACGTTCGGGAACAAGCTGACCGAATGCAAGAGCGCTCATCGACCGTTTATACCATTCGCAAAATCGGCTCTCGGAATAACGAAACAGCAACAGTTCATTTCAACCAGTTGAAACCCTTCTCGTTATCGAGAGACGCCCTAGATGCCGAAGTAGAACCCGTCCCTCCGAGGGCGCTTTCAGTANTTCCCTCTCTCTCTTTCCCCTTTCAGACTTCACCCTGCGCCCTAATAGCCTAGAAACGCTCCGTAAACGATGACTGACATTCGCTCCGTTCTTTAAAGTTACTTGTTCATTGCTATCGATTTTATCGATCTGTTGTGAATCTCCTAATCACTATAGTTTTCGTTCGCTTCCAGGCGTCGCGCGTTTTGTTTGCGCGTCTTTGGCGATAGCTGTGTTGCTCACGGTCTGTGGCGTGACTGATGGACTTTGCCCGCTTCATTACAATTGGCATCACGAGCAGGATGGCTTACAGTCCCCCCTTGTTGACATCTGGACCCGCAAAGGATACAACGTTGGAATTTTTTGTGGAAACCCACAGNTTCCCACGACAATCTGCAATGTTCCGGCGGAGTGATAACTACGACAGCTGGGAGTTTCAGGTCTCGCTCTGCATTACGAACATCAACCCTGAAAAGCGCGGATAATATTTGTTAAGCTTCTTGAGCGAGTACTGCCGCAAAAATTGTGAGAAACGTCGAGGTAGACGTTGGAACGCATCGGACACTCAGTACTGTGCGCTGAATCTTCGCGCATCCATAGCCCCTTGTCCTCTGGAGGGAACGGTTGTTACGGTGGAAACAACATGATAGTGAGACTGTGGACGAGTTTTGCTGTACCTTACTGGAACTTACGACAAAAGCCTATCTCGGAAAGGGAAGCTGTTTATAGTTAACGACTTTCATGGGCCTTTCGGATAACCAACTGCGAATTAAATTTATATACAAACCAGCCATCGGCCTACGTGAAGACCTGGACAAGGCTAGTAAAAGTGAGCGAAATTTGCAACAGGAGAGGAAAGCGGCGACTTGTGCGGCGCTGCAAAGAAACCCTGCGGAACCCAACACCCCTCATCCAATAGAGAATACCAGTCTCCGACCGTGGTGCCCCTATTGTGCACGGTTCTGTCGACGTGCCCAACTCTATGGGTACAACCCGCCAATGTACCCGCATGACCAAAAAGGTAGGTCCCTTGTCTTTGATTGCAAGATTTTTGCTGTTGCTACTGAATTTGAATCAAACTCAACACCCTTTTCCCTAAAACGCCGGTTGGAAGGCACCCGTGTGTCCTTCTTGATTGATACAGTTGCTTCATTCTTCTTGGTCAGTGAATATTTATTTCAGCTCACCAGTATTGTGGATGCGAGACAACCGGACGTCACCGAGGTTAACGGTTCAAAATTGTTCCTCAAGCGTAGAGCACAAATGAAGACGAGCCTACTAAGATGGGAAGTCGCCCACCCTTTCCTGGTGTGTCATGGTCTCCAATTGGGAGCCATCATGGGGGATGGACGTTTTGTGGAAATATTGTAACACGATTACGATCTCGAATAGGTCCCTGAAGTTCCGAATGCCCGGTGGAGTTCCAGAACAGAAACGATGCAATACAACATGCCCTGAGTGCTCGGAGGCTTAGGTAGAAAAGAGTACAAAACAAGTTGACTCAGCTCATAGGAGTGCAGAAGAGACTCAGAAGATGTATTCGGACATTTATAATACATCAACAAGCGTTCTCGGTCGTACCCAAGTGATTCAGCACGAAATTGCTACCGGAACCAGTAGACCCATTCGTCAGCGTGTACGACGCTCACCAGTTCACTGTGTCACAGCTGGACGAAATCATTTAGAATATGCTACCAAAGAAAGTCATCCGTCCATCAACCTCACCCTGGTCGTCCCCTATAGTGTTGGTAAAGAGTGCTAATGATAGCTAGCTGCTGCTCTTTGAATATGTTCGTGGAAGTCATTCTGCAGATGAAGGTTGTTACATCTTCTCGCTTGAGAAGGGTCAGATCTGGTCTTTTGAGGGGGCAAATTGGCTGTCAAATTCATTCAATTATCGCGCAGCTGGGATTTTATTTTTTTGCGAATCCTTCCCCCTGTATTGGAAACAGGGATAAGTCAACTACTCCGAAATTGGTCATCAGTGGTTAGGGTGCGGCGTCTATTAGAAGAATCTGGTAAATTATGTTTGGTAGTCGACTTAGTTGACTCCACGCAAAAGTGACTGCCTCCAGTGCTGAAAAATGAAGGAGGGAAAATGAAACATGTACAATATGAAAGTACAGCACCCGTATGAAATATATAAGTCATTTTAATAACTAAATTCTAATTACGTTTTCTATTATGACTTTATTATTTTACTACTGACGCACCAGGAACCATCGTCAAAATCACGAAATCGTACATTTTATGGGCATGCGGCTAATCGAAGCAAATACATAAGTGGGTATTATATCAGGTATGTTTCGACTGACGTGATGCAATATCATATTCAATCATGCAAATGAGGCTGGGGAAGAGAGGCAATGGGAGGAACAATTGTGATGAAAATCAGGGCGTTGCACGAGTTAACCTTTAACATTTTGAATAAATCGACAGTAATTCATGTCGCTCGCTCAATATCCCATCATCAAGATACAGGTCTAATCGAAACTGAAGCAACAGGTCCCTGTGAAACATTTGTGTGTTCGTATAGGCAATAGTATTTATACTAGAGTAATTTTTTTCCAAATTATAATAAACAAGCCTTGGTGAGTCTTTATAGCATTGATTTTCCTGATTCGTTCATACTCAGCAGATGGAATAACTCAGAATGTACAGGATACTCCCATTTCATCGGTAGTGGTTGACTCACAGCATGACGAGTTAGGAGGTAAGTTAAGGGAATAGAACAGAGTTTATTTACAACAAATTGACATTGATAATGACCAGGATGTAAAGTTTATGCACACTAATAGTCAATTGGTCTGCCCCTGTTCTTTAGGACTTTTTCGGGTCTCTTCGGCATGGAATCCACCAACTTTGTTATGAAGTCATTTTCTTAGTTGTGCTCCATTACGTATCGCACTTTTGCCTCCAATATCCAATGTGTAAATAGCCCACTGACCTCTCTCTTCTTTGATTGAAATGGTATTTCTCGAATTCAGTGAGTAAGATAGCAAACAGATTATTATTAAGAGACCTCATTTATTGTAATTTCCCCGGGTTGTGAAACATTTTCATTTGGTTATTCAATAGAGTTGCTATAATAGATTATATATCGGATAAAAATGGCTTATAGCAAACATCCGAGGTGGCAAGGGTTTGTGGAAATAATTTGGGATATTTCTTGATTTATTCCTATTAATATATATTGCGTTTTCATACTGGATACAGTTTGAGTTTTTCATGTTCAGATCATTTAATCTTAGCAACCAAGGTCACGCACGTTTAATTAACAATTATGCAGCCTAGAAACCACTTAGATCCCAGTAGATAAAATATAAATTATTGTCCATACATAAAGCATTAAAACAAGTAATGAATATAATGAAACTCCAATTGATCATAAAGAAAATATTTCAGTGCATCACAATCGACCAGTACTGTAATTGTTTAATTTTATTCCACCATGGTGCGATGTACCAATCAGAGCAACTCGGAGAAGGCTAAAAACACCTCATCTTGCGTGTTGTTAAATTTATAAGCGTAATTTATCAACGTCAACAAGGAAGATACAGAGAGTCGATCAATAGTTTATCCTTAAAAAGGCTTCTGATTTGCGTTTCGCTCTGTTGCGTTGATGATGGGAACTCCCCACTTACCAGCAGAGTTGCACTACTGGTAGTTGGGAAACGATCATATATTTCTGTTTATTTAAAATTGCTGACTTATAAATCAAGATGTATTGAATATCCTGTAAAATACGATATCGAACCAGAACAAGCTAACAAACAATCTGCGATTGTTGCAGTCATTTGCTTGAATGAAGCAGTTTTGGATTTGGTTTACTGATATGCAAACAACCCTCCGGTATGTTGCGCTTCAAAACTGTGTGATCAAAGCTAACCGCTTCACAACATACATTCAGAATAGGAGATATGCACTTGGAATTCAATTAACAGAACCTCGTAAGACTATACAAATTTCAGATTTTCAGAACCAACTTTACACCAAATCCGGCAGGCTTAGCAACCACCGGCATTTAACACAGCGCACTCAAAAGTCGACCGAAAGCGTAAAGTCAATAAGTCTGCAAAAATCATGCGTCAGTTCTATTGGTTGAGCGCAATAGTTTTTAGGTTCCTACTTCTTGACGAATGTGTGTTCACTTTGAAGCATCGGGCTAGCTGAGTTTCAACGGCGGTTGTGTACTCGTTCGTAAGATTTGGCGGAAGAATCACTCTCTCCGAAGAGATTTATCCATAAATCACATAAAGTCTTAGATTCAGGAAAGTGTGTTACATGTTCCTTTTTAATTTGAATTCGTGACCAGGTGAGGGTGAAACAATATGTGGGTCGCTGATGAGATCACCAGGAACAAACACCTACTACTTTTATTCAGACTGAATTCAACTATAAGCTTCAGCGGGAAATTGAGGTCATGGACTTGAGATGGTGCACACAACACTACTGTTCCCGAAATATGCCACCTATTATCAGTAGAAGAGGAGAGAAGAGTATCAATCGTATGTCAGCTTCACATATATAAACAAG